GTGTTTGTATCAGGCAGAAATTTATTTATACCCCCTGAGGGTGTAAGAGGTTAAACTCCATTTACTATAGAATCAGCAGCAGGACATCAGAAAGAACTTGATAAACGATCATAAAAGGTCTAAGTGGTTCATTTCTGCATCATCATTTCTCATAGTTAATGGTTTATGAACATCCTAATAATTAAACCTACTGCAGTGAGTTGTCAGTGATTTGCTGTTCATATTTTACCCATGAGTGTTTATGTTTCCTGGAACTAACTTCCTGGTTATCCGGTCTCTTTAACAGGTTTTTTGTGAAGGCAGGCACGCCCAGCTTTATGGTTTTGGTGAAAGGCTCCTCGTTCTGGAAGCAGTTTTTGTCTGGAAAGAAGATCCGTGGATTGTAGACAAATGTTGAAAATTAAATGGATTTTTTTTTAATAAAAAAAGTAAATTTGACTTTCTTTTTTGACAATTAATCAGTATCTCTTAAAAAAAAAAAACGAATTTCAAGTCAATTTTTTTTCTGACAATAAAAAATGTCCATGTAAACCTAAGGAAAGTAAATCTTTAGACTATTTATAATGTATGCTAAAACTACAAGGAATTGTTTTAAGGTACGAGTCCAAGATCAATATTCATTAACTCACCCAGAGTGGAGCTGAAAACTACAAAACCAACATGATATGTTAATTGCAGCTAACATTGGTATCTGCATCATACCCAAAACATCACTATTTTGCAAAATCCTTGCTGGATCTACAGATGTTTTTAAATGAAACCCTTTCCCTCCCATGCATTTGTTTTAGCCAAATCATAAGAGGTGGCTTTTCCCTTCACTTCCTATCTGTCTGTCAGTAGAAATAAAGTAAAGTGGCAACTGGCCTGACTGATTGCAATAAGGCATCACACCCAAATGGTGTCAGGCCTGAAGGTCTGTCCAAAGCAGTACCTCTTCCACCTTAGTCTGATCCAGGAGATGGTTCCAGCAATGTGAAAGACCTCCTGCCTTGTTCCAGAACCCAAATTAAACTCAGTCAACAGTCCTCAATGATTACAGACCTGTTCCCCTGACATCTTACATCATGGAAGTCCTACAAAGACTTGTGTTGGTCAACCTGAACAAGCAATCTAAGGACCCCCTGCAGTTTGCTTGTTGCCATGGATTTGAATTTGCTTCAACAATCCAATGTTATTTAGAAAAGGTAGACAGCTCTGTGAGGATCATGTTCTTTGAAGACTCAGGTGGAGCCATCAATAATCGCCTGAATCAAAGACTACGTAACCAACAGAACACAGTTTGTGAGACAGAAGGGTCAAGTGTCTAATCAGGTAGTCTGCAGAACAGGAGCCTCATAGGGGACGCCGACCATCTAGATGGACATCAAAACCACATGTAGCTCAGTGTTTCAACATCTGCAAGAATCAACTTCTATCACACTTAGAGATCATAGAGGTAAAATGCAGATGGTACAGAAATCATCATCCCTCCACAGGCCAATTACAAGCCAATAGCTCAACTCACCATCAAGTGCAGCATTTGCCAAAGAGAGGCTTTGTCCCTATTGCTGTTCTCCAAAGGCCAGGGCCTCCTCAGTCAGATCATTATTAAGACTGGCTATATCTACTGATTACAGAATGGAGCAAACCTCCTCTACATGGGCGACAGGAGTAAATGAGACATAGATTCACTGTTTGACACCCCCAGGGAGTACAGAGAAGACATCAGAATTTCATTTGGAAAGGAAAAGCATAGTCAGATGGTAACAAAGATGAGAAGATTTGTCAGAATTGAGGGAATTGAACTACCAGAAGGCAACTTCGCAGACACTGAGCACATCTACAAGTACCTTGGAATCCCACTGGCAACTGAGAACCATAAGAAGGCTGCTAGGAAAGCTGTAACCACCAAGTACCTGCAGAGAGCAAGTAACAATAAATCCTGATGAGTCAGCGTAATGGCAAGAAGATGATCTGGTTAATCAACACCTATGCCCTGCCAGTCATCACATACCCTGCTGGGATAATTAACCTCTTAACATCCACCTCATTTGGGGAGATTCTCGCCTATTTTGCATACCCAAATGAAAAGCAAGTAACTTGGGAACTGTAAGCCCAAATTACATGCGTGATACATTATTTGAAACCTAACACCTAGTTTCTGAATATATACATGAAAATTGGGTTAGTAAAACACCCAAGCTGCATCAAGTCCAAGCTACATTAGTTCAAACAAGACTCAAAGTAGTTTTTATTATTCTCGAAAATAATCTGTCTTTTTTGAACAGCAGTTATAAAGACATGCGAGCTTGTTGTGGCTGTTTTGTCATGGTACATTTGCTATGTCTATATAATGAACTAGGTGGTTGCATTGGTGATAATCTAAGGTTTTTAACGATGTAACATGTCTATATTGGTTAACATTTTACCTGTGTAATTTTCATGCATTCTGAGTTATTATTTGTAAACGCTTTAAGAAAGGTTAGATAAAATAAGGAGGGTTTCACCCCAAGGCTAGCACCCTGATAGGAAAGGAGGCTGAGCCCTTTTAAGTGTCCAACCCACTTTCTTTAATGAGAAAACAAAGATCCAAGAGTACATTAAAAAGATTGCCACCATTGATCAAGGCTAGCAAATACCTCAGGCAGATGGAATCCAAGAGAGAAGGGGAGCAAGAACAGGAACCTGTACAGCATGTACAACAGCAGACAGAAGAAGTAGATTATATTAAAACATCCTACCTGTGGCTGGATTGAAAGACAGAACAGTGGAACTAACCATCACAGCAAAGGAACCAGATAACAGGATTGATAGAGGCTGGGATTACCACACCACACAGGACCCCAGTTGCAGGTTTTGTAGAAATTCACCTGAAACAGTCCAGCACAAAACAGTAGAGTGCAAGATGCTAGAGGGTAGGGCCCATATGGAACGCCATAACCAAGCGGCCGGCATAGTATACAGAAACATCGGTACTGACTATATGACGTAAAAGTCCCGAGGGCAAAATGACATATGCTTCTACAGGTGAGTGAAAATGACGGAGCTAGTCTGACTGAGGTTGTGAGGGACTTCCAGATACAGACAGATAAACTGGTGATGTACAAGCAAAGGAAGAAGGGAGAAGTGATCGATGTAGCAATACAGAGTCATGTTAACATCATGAAGATGAGACATAAGCTAGAGAACTATCGATGGCTGAAAGAAGAGCCAGAAAGGAAGTGGAAGGTGAATGCAGTGGTGATCCCTATGATAACTGGAACACTCAGATATATCCCTCACTCCCTCCCTCCACCATCTAGTTTCTAAAAAGAAATATCAAGAACTGAAATCCATGAATATAAAAGTAATCAGGCACAAATCCTTAAAATTTCACTTTTTCAAATAAAGTTTTCACATAAATGTGTCTTTTTCAACTGAATCCCTAAATGGCTTTTCAAATAATGAAAGAAAAACATAATCAGCCTTGTAAATTTTAGTCAGAGACAAAAGAATGAGAAGGTCATCCATGTTTCGAGGTTATGCTTTTTATTTCTTGATGTGATCCATTACTTTTTAATCTTAAATAAATCAAGTCATCAATTATAATAAGGTAAATATGCATATTAACTCAAAGTTTAACTCAAATCTCTCTTTTTTTTCTCTTTTTTTTTTTGAAGTGTCAATGATGAATTTACGGAAGAGGATTAGGGCCACTGGAAAAAAAAAAAGTTAACTGATTTTTAAATTCTATTTCAGTTTAGTATGGGAAAAAACTCAGAATTCTGACTTTTTTTTCTCAGAATTCTGACTTTTTTTCTCAGAATTGACTTTTTTCTCAGAATTCTGACTTTAATCTAAGGATTCTGACTTTTTTATTGTCAGAATTTTTAGAAAAAAGTCAGAATTCTGACTTTTTTTTCTCAGAATTCTGCCTTTTTTCTCAGAATTCTGACTTTAATCTAAGAATTCAGAATGTTTTATTGTCAGAATTCAGTGAGAATTTTGAGAAAAAAGTCAGAATTCTGAAAAAAAGTCAGAATTCTGCCTTTTTTCTCAGAATTCTGACTTTAATTTTTTTATTGTCAGAATCACTGGCCACCTCAAACAACTCACATCTTTGTCAGTGAAGCTAAGTGCTCCCACATCTCTTCCTTCATGGTGCCCATCTACATTAAGATCCAAAATTCTGAGAAAAAAGTCAGAATTCTGAGGAAAAAAAGGCAGAATTCTTCTGACTTTTTTCCCATACTAAACTGAAATCAAATTTAAAAATCAGTTAACTTTTTTTTTTTTCCAGTGGCCCTAATCCTCTTCCGTATAAATTGGCTTTTCCAGAAGAAGAAAAAACATCATCAATGAAACCCAAGTTCTGCAGATCTGTCTGGAAAGTTTTTATTAGCTCATAGAATAACGAGAATATTGAGGTGTATTTGGATTAAGATACTGAGCCTCAAAAACTGTTAGGAGGTGGAGCAGGGTCTGGGTTAACATACGGAGCCCCAAAACTATCATGTTGTGATTCAGGGTTTTCATCAACCTTCATGACTGGATTAACCTGAACATTGACAACAGTTTTGGGCCTTGTGTTAATGACAGCAGGAGCTCTATTTCTTTCCTTTAGCTCACGATCCATCTGACACCAGGAGCACCAGACACAAAAACAAGATGTTACAATGTCATTGATGGCTGTACCCTGAAAACAAAAACATCAAAACAGTTTTTTTACTTTGCACTTTTCCTTTAAATAGTTTTATTTGATTTTGAACTGACCCATACCTTTATTCCATATCTGTTCCGAATGGAAGCCCTCAGAGTCAATGCTGCTGGGGGAGCAAAAATGGGAATCCCCATGGGTGTAAATATAGCAGGACTCAGTATGTCACATATTGGCAGACAAAAGCTCTGTTTAAATCTTCTTGAAACAGTGCAGGCAAGGCAGCTGCAGCACCAGAAGCCATAGCAACCTGTAGAAGGCAGCAGCGTTTCAGATTCATAAAGTGGCCTTTAGTGATCGTTAAGACTTATCTGTTTGATTTAAATGGAGCAAAAAAATTAGAAAAGCAACTTAGCTCTTACAAGTATTGACATCTTGACAACAGCCGAATAGAGGAGTTTTCCATTCACTCAGGGGAGTTTCTGCCATTATTCAGCCACAAACTGAAATACTAACCTGTGTGGTCAGGAAAAATAAAATCAGCTCCAAAGTGTCTGCAAAACGACACAGTGCAATATGATATGTGATGTTAAACAGTTGATATGTTGGAAGATCATGCAAGTTTCCTGCATAATCACCAGATCCTCTCCGACCCCACCCACCCCAACCATGGACTCTTTTTTTTCCCCCTGGCGTCCGGCAGAAGGTTCCGCAGTATCTTCTGCAGAACAACCAGACTACTGAACTGTTTCTTCCCCCTGGCCATCAGACAGCTTAACGCCACATAACACTCCTCCCCCTATGGACATGGACAATACACCCACCTTAGTTTAGTTTTGTCTTCAATTTAATGTTTCATTTTCAATAACTCTTCAGTGCAATATTCAATAACTCAGTGCATATTTATTTATTGATGTTACTTCTTCAATAACTCAGTGCAATATATATATACTCTTACCCTGTATATAGCTAGCTCTTACTCACAGAAAACATATTTATTTTGCAGGAATAAGGTCTTAGCTCTGTTACACTTGTAGCCAAGTAATCCACATTTCATTGTCAAGATTCACCTTGTGTTTTTTGTGCAATGACAATAAAGGAAGTCTAAGTCTATGAATTTTTGCAAAATCAGTGCCTCAGAGTCGGTCCTCCAGACATCTGACAAGTTAGCAGTCATCCCTAAGGTTTGTAGCCTACCAATCCAGACTAAGAGACCTTTTAGAGACTCATGTTAAGATCTGACACCATTAGTTCTTACATTTTTTTCTGGGAAGCTGAATTTTGGGTTTTCATTTTCTATAAGCCAGATTGATCAAAACTGCAAGAAAAAAGACTAAAACTTAACAGTATTTTGCTTACAGGTATTGTGGAGGATTTTCGTGAAATTTTTAAAGACCCACCCTCTCCTCTTTAAAAAAAAAAAAAATGCACAACCCTGTACCCCCTCTGAAGAGGGAACACCTATGAAATATATGCAAGAGCATGCATGAGTCCATAAGCTGCATGAAATGCTCAATCACCATATAGTGGACTTTAGAGTCCTGCACGGGTCGAGTATCTTCAATTCAAATCCGAACCCGACCCGACCCGTTGATATTTAACCCGCAACCCGACCTGTTAACACATCAAGTAAAAGGCTATAGTACGCTGCGCTGCAGCAGCGCCATTAACACTGCAGCAGACATGTATGCACTGACTGTGGCCTTTTTGGAGAGAAGCCCACATAGCCGGCAGGGCTTTAAGCTACAACAAGGGTGACCCCAGTGCCTGATTAATATAAAATTTCTGATGTCCATAACAACACACACGCATAAAAAAAAAAAATCCCCAACTACCCGCCCGCACTAAAAAAATATCCACCCGACCTGTTTATTTTTATTTGTGTATTTTTCACCCGCAAAAGAGCATTTTAGCGGGTGACCCGTCGGGGACCCGCGGGTACCCGACCCGTTGCAGGACTCTAGTGGCTTTATAGTAAACTCAGTTAACTGACAGTTCGGACAGATGATCACTGCTTTTTGCTCTCTGTTGGTCATGTAACTTCTCCTCCACTGCACAGTGCCTGCGTCATTTTTTGTTATTAGTTGCTGCTGTCGGAAAGCGACAGTCTATGGCGACAGTGGGCCGCTGTGACAGCAAATCCCATAATGCTTTGCGAGGATAGCTCTCCAAACAGTTTCTAGCACTGTTGCCTTGCAGCAAAAAGGTTCTGGTTTCGATTCCTGACCCAGGGTCTTTCTATATGTAGACGGGGGTGCCAAAAACTCTGTGTTGTCCCAGGCACTAGCAAAGCTGTCAGCTTGCCTGCCGTGGTGTGCCAGCTTTTTTTTTTTTTTATCAGGCTTAAATGAATATCTTCTCATTTTTCTCAAATTCTGATTTATTATGGCAAAATTCACAACAAGCTGGGCATACAATTGAAACAACTCAAAAAATTAGGAATATCAAAGATCAATGTNAACTCAAAAAATTAGGAATATCAAAGATCAATGTTTCAACAGATGAGCTAAACGCTTAATGTTTCAAGACTAAATAGCTAATTGTAGATTTTATAAAACCAAAGACTTGCAAAATGGCCTCCACACCACTAGTACTGGCTGTTAAGGATGCCACTGTGCCATTTAAAATAACAACCATGTTGAACATTAGACATCTTGTGTTGTAACTCTTCCTTTGCAACCTGCTATCCTGTTTTTCTCAAGTTGTTTTGTTTTTATGTTGCTTGGAATGAAAATGAAAGAGAATGGTATGTCTACTCGCTTCTTAGTGACGATGAAGGTTTTTCTCTACACCTGGGGGGAAATCAACAATCAATATGTGTTTTTTGTTATTTAGGTGTAAAGACTCATATAATTTTAAGATTCGTCAAAATCATTCCAGCTGGTTAAAATATGGTAGCTATAAAGGTCATTGAAATGTATAATTTTCAGGAAAACAATTTGAGCTGTTTTGAGAATTGTGACAATGTTCATTCTTTGACGTAGTCAACAGAAGATATGTGCATGCTTCTCATTAAAGGATAGGCAGGTTTAGTTACTCTGGTTGTCCCCGGTGTTTTACTGATGCACAGTTGATACTCTGGGGCACAAAGTGTGAGCAAATATACCCAATTTGATACACCATCACAAGCCTGAACCGTTGACACAAGGGAGCATCGGTCCAATGCAATTTATCCATGCTCAATTCTGAATCTACTTTCTAAATTTAAAGGCTAAAATTAACAACCGAATGGTTGACATTTTTCCTGAGTATTGTCTAAGATAATACAATTGAATTGATATTAATATTTGTAATGAAGCCTTGGTGAAAATTCAACTGAATAAACTGAATCATGTTGAGCCTGAATCATGCCAAACAGGGGTTTTTTCTAACCACTGTCGCTCCATGCTTGCTCAACATGGAGCTTCATATGAACCTGCACCTCATTCCCAGCACCTTGAAGAGTGGTTACAACTCACGCTCTTCAAGTCGTGTTCTTTTCACTATTCCCAGGATCAACACAGATCTTGGCAAAACATCATTTTCCTATGCAGCACCATGGTCGTGGCACAATATTCAAAACTCCCTGCAATTACGGACTCTTATTCCGCTACAGCATTTTAAATCACTATTGAAAACCGCTTGCACAGAGAATTGTAACTGTTATTCTAGAGTCTGGTTTATGATCGATTTTATTATGTTGTTTTTATGTCTTATTGTACTGCTGCCTCTTGGCCAGGTCTCCCTCGAAAAAGAGATTTTATCTCAAGGGACTTCCTGGTAAAATAAAGGTTAAATAAAATAAAAAAAATAAATAAATTCCAGCTGCGATGCACCTCCATTCTGTTCTACCACCTGTAATAGCACTGGGGGAATTTATCCGCATTCTCAGTCATTAGCTAATCCCTATAATCAAAGTATATTTCTCGCTGAGGTCTGACCGCCAAAGATTTAAATATTGTATCAATAAAAATCTTCTAATCGTCGTCTTTGTTTTTGTGAGTTTTTTAGGTTGAGATTATTAATGTTGCTGTTATGATCAAATAAGGACATTTATAGACATTCTGAATATTCAGATTTTCTTTTAACCTTTAACACAATGACCAGACCTTATATTGCTTTCCTCTGTGTCAAGCACCCAATAACCCCATGCAGTATCAGTATAAATGTCAGATGCTCATAGAAATCTAGCAAAGCTGACCACCTCCACTCCCATAAAACATGCAGAAACAGCAACAAGATAAATGTACACATTATATCCCAATATTGGCGTAGTTTCCCGCGTGTGTCCGGTACTAATATATTGTTAAACGACTAACAAAGGCTGATGCAAAAGTTGATACGGATATATAGAAATATATGATGAAATTTTGTAATTGCAGTATCTGTTGTGGCCTTCCTCTTTAAGCTTTGACATGATATTAAGTAAGGGTTACAGTAAGTTTTGCCATCTTTTTTCTGAATTAAAAAAATGCTCAGTAAAACTAATAATTACAAATGACATTTTCAACTGGTGGAAACATAAGATAAGGGTGATTGCAATGAGTTCTTCCAACCTAAAAGACCTGGAGATCATCACAGAGGATACGCTTTCAAAATATTACAAAAATTAAATAAATATTGGATTTTACATTAATTATATATAATCATAATTACTGGATTTTATATTAATTATTCAGAAGGAAAAAACAGAAATCTGAGCTAAAACCTAGAGCAGTGTCAGCCGCTGCTCTCTGAAACGTGAGGCTCTATGGTGTTAATTAAACCAAAACCCAGCATGTATTAATACCCTGCATGTATATCTTTACTGTCTAGTTGAGATACCGATCTTTTGCATATATACATACCTGCCCTTATGGGAAACCTTCCTTCCAGCTTGGAAGATGCCAGTAAATAAGCTGCTTCAAGTTCAGTTTGCTTTGTTTTCTTAAACAGAAAAAAAAATGCTGTATAACCTGTGAACCATCATTCATGACATACAAGTTTGGATACAAGTTTATAAAGCTGTGTTGTCATTCTGGGCCTGATCTAATGTTGATGTTCTGCAGTCGCTTATGTTGTCTGTCTCTTAAAATAAATTGGACTCCTGCTGTTGTTATAATGGGTTAAACAGAAGCCACCAACAGAAGCTTAAGTTGATGGAGGAGCTTTAGTGTGGATAATCCCAAAAATGATGATGTCATTGGCTTAAATGTCCCTGGTAGGGTCTCCCAAGGCCCTGGGCGACCGATAAAACCAAGAGTTCTTAAAGAACTCATTATGATGACAAGGATGAGCTGCGATCTCACCCTGGTGTCAGGCGTGGGATTGGGATATGTCGACAGGCACCTGATGGTCAGCCTCATCCACACTGGGCCTGATTAGGCCAAGAGGGATATGAGGCCACCACCCATGTGGGCCTGCCACCTATAGGAGGGAGCATGAGGGACCAGTTTTAAGAGGACTGGGCAACAGTCAGAAGCGAAGGCCAGAAATGCTACAACTGGCTCTGAGAACTGAGCTCATGCAGGAGGTTGAGCAATACCAGCTAGAAATAGTCAGGCTCACCTCCTTGCATAACCTCAGCTCTAGAACCCAGAGAGTGGACTGCTCTGATGGGGCCCACAGGAAGAGGCTGAGGGCTGAGGTTGGTCTGCTTGTCTTTCCAAGCTTAGTCTTCTCCTGTTTGAGTCCACGCGGTTAGATGAGAGGGTTACATCCCCGTGCCTTTGGGTTAGGGGGGTTTCTCTGACTGTGGTCTTTGTCTATCGGCCAAACAGCAGTGCAGAGAGTCAGGCCTTTTTTGCGGCCCTGGGTGGCAGTGCTGGATTCATTCTCATGCCCATGGTGGAAAGAATTACCTCTGAATCTGAGTGGCATTTCAGTGCAAGCAATGGATTCTACATAATGATCATGTTCAAACATATGGATG